ATGGTCTATCCTCCTTTGTCTCCTCCCCAGCATACATGGTAGATTGTCTTTTTGTCTCCACAGATCTTCATAAGTCAGAATACTAGTGATACACCAAAAAAGTGGGTTTGGTGCTGATATCTGTCAAAGAAGGAAGGAAAAAGGGATTTCCATGAAATCACTGAAGCACCACCACCACTCACTAACCTCATATTTCTGTCTCAAGTCCCAGATAAAGCTCTTTTCCTACCCAGAAGGTTTATGCTGGCTTAGGGACTCTGATGCCTGAGTCCACAACTTTCACACAGCATGCAAGTACATCCCAGCAGCTAAAGGCAAGAGATGTTCCTCCACGCAGTAATGCAGGAAGAGTATGACATTAATAACTCTGTTTTCTAGCTTGTCTCTACATATTAATAAAATGTTAAAAGCCTACTTATCTAGTCACTAACAGGAAGAAAATGAAAGACAGAACTTCGTGTCTTCTTGAATAGTCACCACAGTTGCTATCTACATAGATTTAATATCTCCTGTTGCACTAGACTACTGAGATACCTTTTAGAAATGCTCATTTCTTAGCTGACAAATTTCTGTGGATCAAGGCAACACCGTCCAATGGAATATGGCACACAATATATACAACAAAATAACACTTTTTCTATTTCTGATTATCAGAAACAAAATATATTGTCTGAACTACCTCTTGAATAGAAAAACAGAGTCTCAAGCAGTACATAGAAATGTGGGTTTAATTATAATGCCATAACTCACAGAATTTCATGAATAGTTTCACTCATCTATCATAGCACATCCCCCTTGTTTGGCAGTAAGGAGTCTGGTCAGATCCGGGTAAGAACAGCTTTAAATGGTTAGAGCTGTTGCCCATCACCAGGCTAATTCACCAGGAGCCAACCTTCCCTCCAAGGCATCATCTGACAAATGGTAGAGCATGACTGCTGGAATGGTTCTGTGTTTTGGGAGACATCATCTTTTGAATGAGATACTTCAGAGGAAGATCTTTGACTACACAACCCAATAAAAGATGGCCTGTTCACAGAACGTTCGTCAATTCCGAAGAATTTTACATAACAATTGGCAATGGAATTTCACTAACGCTTCTAAAATCAACCTTCTAAAAACTCAGATATAGAACAATAGATACAGGTTTTTTTTCCTCTAGAATTCTGAAATCATAAGTAATCTTAAGGTAAGTACCAATAAGGTACAACAGGGAAACATTTGGTCTGAATTTCAGCATAATCATTAACGTTATTCCAACGGACATCGTGAGCAAGAATTTTCTTTTTTCATGAAGCTGATAAATTCCTCTTGCTTTCAGTACCTTTGTGTCAGCTTTCAGGCTGTGCATGGAGCCCTCTTCTGGAGAAATTTGAAAAAATGAAAGCTTAAGAATGCAGCAATGTGGTCTATGCATTTGTGGACAGTTTTAGGACTAATCTTCTCTATTCACTATAAAGACAAGCTTGTAAAATCTACACATTTTACCCAATTCACTTAATTACAACCCAGCAGAACATCACAGTTACAGCGAAGGCCATCAAAAATAGCTTTTCTTCCCCTCCTCTAAGCTTCATTCAAAAATGTTGTGTTGAATTCATCTGCCTGCATGAAACACAAAACATACAAACCTCAGAACAACTTTCATTTTAGAAAAATAAAAATATTCTATACGGGCCTTAGGAAATATTCCTTGGGAAAACACACAGAAAACAAACCTGATTCAACAGATTTACAAATCTGTAGGTATTTACTGCTAACTGTACGTTTTATAGAGAAATGCACAAACTACAGAGTATACTCTGTTTGACTGTCAACTTCAGATCAATAAAGCTGCATATTATAGATCTGTTTTATAGTTTTACAGGTGATCATGAATTAAAGGTGTGAAGCATATCTTCCACCACTACTCCAGTTAATGTTCAGTTTTCCTCTTGGTGAATGCAGAGAAACAGTTAGTAATAGTGCTGGCTAAGCCTCTGATAAATAAAAATATTTATCAACCACCCGTTTAATACAATTTTTAATCAACAACGCATCCCATTGAGCATGTGCATCTGGAAAACTGATGCCCCATTAATATCCTTATCCTTTCACAGCTTTGAAAGATGAGTTTTCTAGATTTAACAAATATAGCTGAATTAAATGCAGATTAAGAACACACAGACCAGAAGTTACAAGTTTTACATCCTTCAATTTAAAAAATATATATCAAAAGAACAGAAACACATAAACATTCCATTACTCTCACTTCATGCTCCATTACTTTCAGTTCATGCTCTCAAAATCTCACCAGATATCTCTGAGAGTTTTTCGTACACTGTAAACTTTGTCATCATTACTCTGAGATGAAGTTCTTCCTATCTTCTGCTGCCACGGAAAGTATTGCATTACTAGATTGCTATTGCTTAGAAATCATTTTATCAAAATTGAGCTTTTCTTGTTCCACTAGCACTGTATTATAGCAATCATTATTGCTACTACTGAGGGAAAAAAAAAGAAAACTTATGAGAAATCCCAAAATGTGTTACAACTACTATACAGCCAGATGGCTGCATTTGTTTAGTATGTTGTTTCTCACATTCTTCTGTTTACTTTTCCTGTCACATGAAAGTTGTGCATGTGGTGTGTCAAAGAGAAAAGCTGAGCAGCATTTCAGTAATTCCCTTTTTTCTTTATCTAGAATGTCATCATTTTCAGTTCATACTGTAACCTGTCAACACTCAGCATCCTCACTCCTGAGGACAGATTTATGTACACTTGCTTATTACAACTAATTCATTCCTTACCTCATTTACTCTTAGACACAATACGTAAAGTGAACTTGGAAGTGTGTTAAATCACCAGGTATATGCACTGCTAAATGAATCTGCACATGGTAATAAAGTGGGGTGTGGTTTAAACACATAAATATAGAGCAGTGCTAAAGCTCCACAAGCTGAGCCCTGCGGGTACTCAGACTTGCCTCAGCCTAGCAAGAATAGCAACTTTGAAGTACTGCTAAAAGTTATCAATGGAGTGCAGAGTTAAGCTGCTTCCAGAATCCAGGGTTCTGCACTTTGTCAAATTTTAAGTGATTACTGGTATTAAAACTAAAAAAAAAAAAAAAAAAAAAAAAAAACAACAAAAAACCCCACAGGCTATGTGGTTTACTAGGTCTTAGAAGTCTGTTCCCCCTCTATCATAAACATTTTCCTAGAAGGGATCTTTAAAAAAAAATCCAAACTCAAGCTGATTAATTCAGTAGTATGCTGAAGAAAACTGAAAGGAAAAGAAAAGAACAAGAAAAAACAAGCCACAGAGAATACCAACCAAACTGCAGTTCATCAAGCAGGACTCAAGCCCAAGGTCAGGGACACCAGCTTGGTGTACCCCCTGGTTACCCCACCACCAGGTGCCCCCTCTCCCTAAGCATATTGCCTCCCATGGGCAGCCCTGCCAGCCCTGCTGCCTGCCCAGCCTGGATGTCAGCCCACTTTAACAACTTCTCTGCAGAAGCCATTTGCACACCCCTAGCCCATCCCAGAGGCTCTCAGCCTTCCCTGGGCGGTACCTTGCATGCTGGGGGTCCCCCTTACATACGAACACAGCCCCAGCTGCTGGGGAGGCCTTGCAAGAAACTCCACATACATGCTGCTCTGGGACCTTAAACTCATCCTCCAGTACATTCAGGCACCGTGCCTACAGCCCAGAAGTAGTTGCTTTCATTTATTGCACTCACTGAAGCAGGACTGTAACCCTGAACCCACCCAAATGCCTCTGTGCTTGCTCACATGAGCTCCGATCACGGAGTGCCTCACTGTCTTGCAGCTTCAGCCACCCACATCAGTGCCTTTCCTCCAAATCAGGCTTAGCTAGGACCCAAATATGCCCACCCAGACCCACAGCTTGTATGTTATAGTTCACATGACTGCTGCTCACTTACACAAGCACCTTTGCTTTGCCTCCTCTCAGCAGCAGAGCTCTCCCAATATTCACCGTTCTCTCCTTTTTCTTCTATTTTGGAAAAGCAAACTAAATTATTTCTGGACATTGCAGTTGCACAAGCACGAGTGCACAGACTCAGGAATCCCAGCACTACTTTGACACTAAAATCTACCAAATCCCTAAGGGTTAACAAAACCACTCGATCACCAGTCAAAAAGGAATTAACTTTTATCTCCACTCAGAGCACAGGGTGCCAGTGCCACCATCACTAAATGCAAGAGTTTACAAACCTCGTAAGACAAAAGAAAGAAAGAGGCATTTATGCTGGACAACAAAGGATTCGCAAACCTCCCCAGAGCTTCCAAAAAGTAAGCCCTGAAACAGCAGCAAGAGGAAAAGAGAGCAAGCAGAAGGTGTTGAGAAGTCAAAGCCCTACGAGACCCTTTGCTTTGACAGACAGCAGCAGCGGGGCTTTAGCAGCTCTATGTTTTCAAGGCTGGGTGTTTTTTCCTCTGCTTTCTGGCAGAGGGGGATCTATTACATTTAATAAGAGAAAGGCTACATAGTAAGTCATTAACAGTAATACACATCTATCAGGAGAGAGTACAGGAAGGGAGCCTTTTGCAAGGTCTGATTTTATTTTTCCTCTGCATTCTCCCCTCCCGTTTTTAAAAAGCAATAAATAAAGTAGGCTGCCTATAACAGCCTATCTGCCTACTACCCGGCAAAAGCCACAGAGGAAAGAGGCAAATCAAAGTTGCAGCATTTGATATGACAGAAAATATTGCTGCTGCCGCTGCTACCGAGACACTTGAAAGATTCCCCCCCCACCCCCCTCCCTTCCCTGAAAGGAAACAAAAAAATGCTGTATATCACACAGCAAATTTCTTGTAATTGTAAATCAGGCAACTATGAGATACTATATTCCTAGCAACTGGCTTGTAGCAGAGATCTTGCATCTTTCAACAGTAATTCAAGCAATATATAATTACACAAATCAGACGTGAATTACAAATACTTTCAAATCCAAATGCATAAGAGAAAGAAGAGGAACAAAAAAACCCCACATTTCTTACCTGGGACAGCAGAAAGGACAGAGTAAGTTGAGTTTTGTGCTGCATTTTGCCAGACTAGAACGTACCAGAGGCTTTTTCATTCATGCACTCGGCTGCACTGAGCATATTTTCACTGTGAAACAGCCTTTGAGAAGAGACTCTGCCTTGAGAGCCAGCCAACTTCCCAAATAGATCAGCAGCATCATCACTAAAGCATTGGATAGAGTCTGATGACCAGAACCAATGGCTTTACAAGGATGATTTCTTCACAAAGCATCCCCATTTTGCATCACACACATTGGGCAAGCACCTCTCACAAACACAGCACCTTTAGAAAGCATTTTGCTTTGGTGTATTTGTGTGTGTTTAGTTTCAGCCTAACAAATCACACCTTGCAGATCTCAACAGTATTTTCCCTTTTAGAGAATTGAATTGCAGAGAGGAATAAGAGCAACTCTGAGCACCGCTGCAAAGATGTTCTCTTTATTAAAATGTTAATAAGGTGTGCTTTATTTTCAATAAATCAAAAAAAAAAAAAAAAAAGACCACTGCAGTTTTAGTTACTTCTAAGCCTCAGAAGAAGAACACAGCAGAAATACAGATTATATTTTATGTTTTCCCCTCAATCTCACAAATCACAATGAAGACAGATCAATTCTAACCTGCAGAAAAAATCCATCATATGGCAATAGATTTTATTAACTGCTCAGGTAATGGCAGGACTGGCTTTTGATTAAATGTACTTGAATCTAGGACAAAGTTTCTAAGGTGCATACCCTTCAATTACAAAAACTTTTCTTGTTTGAAAGAGGGAACCTGGTGTCTCAAGAACATGCTTTCTCTGGATTGGTCGCGTTGCAACCAAGTGGCACCAACAGATGGACCAAAGACTGCAGTTTAATTCTCCCCACTCGAACATTTTCAGCTCCTCCTCTCCTGCCACTCCCCATTGTCACAACACAAAAAAGGACAGCACTAGCCCTTTTCTGACTTGTCTTCTTGAAGTCGCCGGGGTTATTTAGCAGTACCCTTCCCCCACCTTCAGTATTATCTCAACCCTCCTTTTCTCTTCTGACTTTACACTTTTCCCTTGCTTGCTCATCTGGCAGAGGTGGCTGCCATCACACCCTGTTCTGCCCCACCACGGGTGATTGCTGAACCCACGAAGATGAGCAGAGATACAGGGAGCAGAGGACAGGCAGCCAGATGGGAAAGTACATGCATTCAGAGAAGCTGCCAGCCACTTTGAGTTCCTCAGCATCAGCAGGTGCTCCCTGCAGTGAATAATCTAAGTTGATAGCTTCCAAAACTACTGTTAGTCTGCTGCTCACAGCTCACATATTTTACTTATGAACTGGACAAAAAATTGAAGGTAAATACTGTCTTTCACATCTAGGTCCTCACATGACAGCACTCTGTTCCATTACCTTAATCACAGCTGAGGATCAATTAACACTCAAGACAGATCACTATTCAGACACATACACCAAAGCAGATTTTTTGGTGGGTTTTTTTTTAGGGGGGGGATAAGGGGAGTGGGAGGGGTCATGTGGGGTTTTTGTTTGTTTGTTTTTCCTCTTCTGTAATTGGCTAAGGAAAGCTTTACCAAGCTTTGCATGGTAAAAAGAGCAAAATTTAAAAAAAAAAAAAAAAAAAAGGGCTAAAGAAAGTGACCAGCCATTTCCCGTTGCTCCTTTAAAGTCTCAGCTTTCCCCCATAGCATAAATCCCAGCCTTAGGAGAAGCACCCTAGAAGTTTACCAAGCAGCCTGTGGGGTCCCTGCAGGGCTCAGCCTGCCCAGGCTGTGGATCACAGACCACACAGCCTCTATGGGACCACTGGGATTTGGACAGTTCATGGAACCCCACAACTGCAGCCAAACAGTTGAGTGAGTTTCCAGACCGACCAGAAGTAGGTGGTGGCTGAGAGAAACAAAACCATATCTACATCTTGTTTCACAGGAAAAAGAGTCATTAATTAATACACGCGTATAAAAAAAATACAAAGCTGCACAGTGGATGATTCACTCCAGAGTGTTGCTTGTACCAACACAAGATTTGAGCTGCTGTTAGCAGTTAGCTTCAACGTGAGATACCACACAGTGAAGGGACCACCCCACAGAGGAGGGTGGGAAAGGAAGGACAGGTTTGAGCTGTTCCTGTGCTGCCACAACCATGAGAAGCCATGTTGGACATGCAGCCTCCAGCCTCACCATAGGATATTACAGCACAGCCCCAAGGGACCTGGGGCCAGACTCTGACCTTCTACTGGAACACCAGCACACTATTAGAAAAATAATTTGCTACTTCTTACCTCCAGTTCTCCTCAGCTGGTCCTCCAGCTGCAGGCCTTTGCAAGAAGCTGCCGGGTCCAATATGGCGGAGCGCAAGGCCTGCCTCAGAGCTATGGCTGCAGGGTCTGAACGCCTCCCGGAAAAGGCTCTGTGCTGCATGATGGCAGCCCTGGGCACTGACTGGGGCTGAGTGTGGGTCAACTGGAACCTCCAGCAGGCAGACTCCGAAAATCAGCCCTGAGAGCCAGCACAAGGCAATGGCTTGTTACAGGTAGACTCCCAGAAGGAGCAGGGTCATCTCTGCTAATTACACTGTTAATGAAAAGCTGGTAGAGTTTAATTCAGAAAGTTAACCCCCAGCAGTGCAGGATTTAGGGCCTAGTTGAGAGAGAAACTCTAGGATTCAGCCCTTTGCTTTTAAAGGCTTTTATGGTGAGCTGTGCTTCTCTTGCCCACTGGCTGCTGATGTAAATTGTGAGGCAATTTTAAGCAATGACTGAAATGGGTTTTGGTTTGTGAAGGAAGAAGGTTCCTGCTGATACCTTTTCTGGATCCAAGCCTAAATTAACTGATGGCTGTAACATGCTCTGTAGTCTTTAGATATGAGATGCCACCCTTTTCACTTACAAAAATTTAGGCAATTTGACACTGCAGCTCACTTCTTTTCTCTCGGTGTGCTCTGGCAGTAGAGGCTAATGCTGAGCTGGTGCTAATAGGAACAATTCTAATTGCCTGCAGCACATAGGGTATTGCCAGAGATAGACCCATTAGTGGATGAGGGAGGGACTTTATGGAGCAAAACACCTCTGTGCTGCCAGAAATGCCTTTTGACCTTTGGAAGATGAGTGCCCTGACTCTATCTGTAAAAGCTGGCGATTAACTGCCATGAATCTATCAGAAGAACAAGGGAAGGGAAGTTCACTTTTGTGTTAAAGTGAATCACATAAGAAGCCTGGATGCAAGAGAGAGGGACTAATTTCCTCTGCTGTAGCACTGGCGATCTATACACTCCTGGCTGCTACACCATACTGCAGTTTCTGACTCCTTCAAGAATGGAAAAAGACTATAGCACAGGGCAGCAACTGGGAGTTTGTAAGCATGTCTCAAGGACAGAAGGAACAAAAAGAGTACATCTCCAATGTGGAAGCACAATGAGTCCAAGACAACTCAATCCTTTTCTGAACAGTGGCTGGCCCTCAGAATAGGTATGGTCAAATTTATTTTAGGAAAGATAGGGCATGTGGAGAATGGAACAGAAGAGCATTTAAGCAAACTAATTTGAGAGTGAGTTCAGCTGCAGCATATTTGACATTGACCTTATTATTAGGAAAAACACGCTTGTTAGGGCTTTCTGAAATCCTGCTGAGTTTACTCCAAGAACTGCCAGGGAAGATGGGAAAACAAGTCTGACCTGCTGTGTCCATCAGATTTGGCACTGCTATGCCTACAGAGCCACCACCACTTCCTGAGGCTAAGAAGTTCTAGTAAATATACCTGACTAGAGCTGGAATCTGTAGCAAGAGTGAAATCTCATCTTGTGCCTGAGGTTCTCAAGCAGGAAGAAATGAAGTAACTAGCCACAGTAATGTTTTGTTCTAGAGGACAGAAATTCAGAAGACTGCACTGGAGTTAAATTAGCAGAGCAGTTAAGGAATGTGTTTTCAATCACTGTGGTTTTCTACCAAATTATGTTTGGATAGGGATTTTCAGCCTTAATGTAGCTGAATTGTCTTTAAGAAGACATCACGAAAACATGAAAATAGAAGTTTTTGCAGTTTGAAGGTGAGTCCACAGCTTTTTGTTATGTACCTTACCCAGTACTTCCATAGTACCTCTCCTACCAGTATTTCTTATGCTTATTAGCAATGGAAAGCTTGGCATTAATGCAGCTTTCTATAAAACCTGTGGGATTGCTGAGTGCATTGTCTACTGTTATTTTTCTACATCCCACCCCAAGTTCTAGAATAGTAAATGGGTTTTGTTTTCACACATGCAAACAGGAAAGTTACAGGCAACTAGAACAGCCTGATACTGCAGTGAGAAGAAATAGGGTGTGTTTCATTGTCAGGAGAGGGATAAAAATGGTGAGTCAGACAGGAATCTCACACTTTAGAATAAATCCTTAAGAGATCAGTACACTTTTCTTTCCAAAACAGAAAAATAGTCCATGTTTATTACCACAAGATCTGTTTCTTTAACTTTTAAAGCAGAAAGACCAATTACTTTTTGGTTTTTCATTCCGACTCCTTTAAATATAAGCAACGTGCATGTTCAACTTCTAAAATTGAGTTGCTGTAAAATATTCTGGACTAACAGTTTACAATACTGTGCTCTAACGCTACATCTGCTTGCAGACTTTATGTTTTCCTGTGTTAATCTTTTTTTCCAGAACTAGGATTGGGTATTAGAACTACCTATGCTGCTACTTACCCAGCTAATACAGTTCTAATCATGATCTGCTAGTAAAATGCCTCATGTTTTGAGCAGATAAGGAATGGAGACACAGTTTTGCACTTTATAAAACTACTATGTGAAAATGATTATTATTTACTTCTAACTGTATGGCCTTCAAGTTAACATCCTTCAAGATTGCCTTCTTTTTCTCTATCCCAGGCAAAACAAATAAATATTTGAAATAACTGTTATTTTAAATAAACAAAGAATCATGTAATCTTCTAATCCTTACTTAAGAAGAAAATCATTCTTTAATCCACCCTTCATCTGAACGAAACAGGGGATGGAGTGAGAAGAACTTTATGTATGCACTGGGTAGGATGTCTCACAGGGTCTGTTTCATGGAAGTGACTTTGTTTCTATCCCTTTCTCTCAGTTGGCCCCTGTGGGCCCTGCTCTTC